TTAATTTTCCAAATTTATACCTCATTTTTCATTCATCTTTTTAGCTGTCCTTGGGCACAGCTATATACTTACTATTGTCTGTCTGTTACAGGATTTTGCAAAATCAGGGAATTTTCAAGGAAATCAAAGAATTTTATTCAATGATTAAGTTCGAAACCTTGAATGATAATAATGATATTGTTCTTTTTATATAAAATGTTCAAGAACATGATGTTTATTAATGTAATGAATTCCTGAATTTGATGGAAAATCTATTTTGGGTTGATTCTCTCTGGTTATAAGTGATTGTCTTGCTTTGCTAAAAATGAACTCTATTAGCTAAATTCCACTCAGGATTGGCCAGGTCTTATATTGGTTGTCTGTTTGAACAAAATTCGAGAGACTTTATCTTCACTTAGGGTCTGGGTGGTTTTAGCTGAATCTAATGGGTAGTGAAGTCATAAATAGAAAATAGTATCTACCCCCAGGATTTCTAAATGTGTTCCTTTCCAGTGATAATAAATAAGAACTGTGTTTGTATCTGAGGTTAGGATATAGAATATTTTTATGATTTATCTGAGGTTAGGATATAGAATATTTTTATGATTTATCTGAGGTTAGGATATAGAATATTTTTATGATTTATCTGAGGTTAGGATATAGAATATTTTTATGATTTATCTGAGGTTAGGATATAGAATATTTTTATGATTTATCTGAGGTTAGGATATAGAATATTTTTATGATTTAATACCATTTTTCTTTTGTATTCTCATCTTTTTGCTGCTTTTTTGACAATTTTTGTTTTTAAATATTTTTGGCAATGTTTAACTTACATATCTGTAAAAAAAACAAAAAAAAAAACAGTACCTCAAAATGATAATTTTTTTTTTTGACATCACTGTTACTGTGTATTCCCTTAATTTCCTCAATTGTTTTAAGAACCATGTTTAGAATTTTAATAACAACAAAAATATTATATACTATTTAGTTGTGTGATTGTTTATTTACAAGGTTCTAAAAATGTTTGAATTAATTGGCAATTAACCAATATTTTTCTTATTTCCTTAGAAAATGGTAAATAATGAATATTGCATTGTAATTGGTTCACATATTTTTATAATCTTGTAAATATAAAATTAATCTTGGAAATAAACAATCTCACAACTAAATAGTGAGTAATATTTTAGTTATTAAAATTCTAAACATAGCATTTTAAAATAAACATTGCCAAGGGTGTCAAGAGAAAAACCTCCTTTTGATACTCCATTTTTTTTGTGGGTATAGAGGTTAAACTTTGCCATATTTTCTTTAGCCTCGGATTAAATTGCAAGAACTTGAGACAAAGAAATAGCTATTAGAATGTAATGCACAACCTATAAAAATATACTGATAATGAAATTCTTTGTCTCAGAACACAATACAACTGAGATTATTACTACTACTTCTATGTACTGAGTATAATCATGACTCTTCCTGTTCTTTGAAGCTCTTAGTAATGTTTGTCTTTTTGCTATCTCTCCTAAACCCTGTTTTGCAAAAGCATTTACACAAGCTCACTAGATATGTTCCTCTGTTTCTTTTTCTTTCAATATATCCTGTGAGTGTCAAATTCTCCAATACCTCTTTTCTCATTATTTTCTTATTTTAAGTATTAGCATCTTTAATTTTTTTTTCTCTAGAATTTCCTTGTTACTCCCATGTCCAGTCCATGGTATTCTCAGCATCCTTCTGTAGAACCACATCTTTGTTGCCTAAAGTTTCTTCATCTTTGAGGAGATTGTTCAGAATTCACTGCTGTATAGGATGACTGAAAAGGATACTTGCACTTAGAGTAAGAAAAAGACAGTTGAAATTTCTGGGAAATATAATGAGAAAAGAAAACTTGGAGAAGTTGATACTCACATGACATTGAAGGCAATAAGAGCAGAGGGGAAACCTTTATGTAACCTTCCTAATGATCTTGTGTAAATAGCTGGCAGAACATGGAATGGGACATATAGTAAAAGAGGACAAACATTGGTTAGAACTAAAAGGATAGGAAGTTGTAGAGAGCCACAATTTCCCGTGATTTGACGGACACAGCATATAAGAAAAAGACGATCTGAAAGCTAAAGAGCAATAAAAATGGTATTTAAGTTGAATAAAAATTCAGATATATATAATTTAAAATCCAAAGAACAGATTTCTCTGCTTTGAATATTTTCTGAAAAAGTTTTCTGTCGTTTGGCTGAGTGACCTATTTGTGAATGAAAGAAAAAGAAAATGTCTGAATTCCAATTTCAACATTTTAGTCTTTTCAGCCATATGAAAAGTTGTAAACAATGCTACCACTGTCCCATAATAGTTGGACTAGGTATTTACCCAAGTCTTCCCACTGAAATGGGATGTGACAGAAGGTCGGGTTTAACATGTGAAACCCAAGTGCATATACCCAGGCCAAGGATAAAAATTACCCAGCTTGCCACACTGTCGGTTGCACTGACTTTGGTGTGAATAATGTTCCCCGCTCTTTAGTGCAATGGTGGGGGGTACATCCTTGTTCAGTTGTTTCTCAGGAACGGGCACTTCGCAGTATTTATTTTCCCCAGCTGTGTCTGCCCACAACCAAGTTGCACTCTGACTGAAGACAGAGACGCAACTGAGAGATGATAAAACCTACCTGGCATATACTAGGTAAGTACAGTTGGTGTATTTAATGTTTGAAATACATACACAAATGTAACAATCATTATGGGATGCAGGTAATAATCTTTACTTCAGTGAGAACAAATCCATGTATTTTTCATATTTCAGAAAATAAAGGATTAAAATATAAAATACACTTTTAACAACTATAGAGAAATATTTATTTAGGAAGAAAAAGATGATATACAAATATATATATATAATATTAGTAGCATATATATATATATATATATATATATATATATATATTATCTCCAAGAGGATAAAATCCAGGTAGAGTTCAATGTACAGTACAGAGCAAGAATATAATATAGTCTCAAACAATAATATTCCATGGTTATAATTTATTAAATTGGAATTGTAATCATCAATTCATTTGATCTACAAATTCAAAAGCTTTTGAATTTGTAGGTCTAATGAAGTAATAAATTATCTGTTTTTTTTTTATTTATTTTTTTATTAGAATTGGAAATATTTAATATATGGGCTAACCCCTTGCAAAGTGGACACTACTATGAATCTGTGGAGTTGAGGACAATTGCAGTCAAGTAATTCTTCTGTGTGTGTGTGTATATATATATATATATATATATATATATATATATATATATATATATATATATAAACCAAATGGATAAATGTAGGTAAATGTATGAGCATGCGTTCATATATAAATACATATATACATACTCTATAGTGTAAGAAAAAACAGTGATCAATGTTAAATAACAGAGCTATTTAATATATTAAAAAATATACATAATAACTTGTATTGATTGCACAACTTGGCATTTCATACATTCGCATTTGTCAGGTGCATTTTTGGGTTAGTGTTTTCCAAAAAAAAATGCACCTGATGAATAATGTATGAAACTCAGAGTTGTGCAATCAATGTAAGATATTATGTATATTTCTTATATAAATTATTTTCAGACTGTATCTGTAAAGGAACAAAATGCATAAAAAGAGACATGAGGAAAAACTATTCTTAGCCAGCTAAGAAGAATAGTTTTTCCTATTGTTTCTATTCACACACACACACGTTTCATTAAAGGTGAGTGGCAAGATACTGTGATTAAGCTTTTGATTCAATTTTTCTTGTGTTTGTACAAGTGTTTTCTTTTCTGGACATAAAGTGTATAAAAAAAACTGTCTGAATATTCTATATAATATCCAAGTGCTTTTGGCTATTCTATTATCAAGGATTTTTATGTATGTGTGTCTATAGTGATGAGAATGTTGGACATTGAGGTCAATACCTTGCAATGACAGTCTGTTTCATGCTTAAGTGCAATCTTCAGGCCATCTGACTAATAGTGGTAGAATCTAAAAAAAAAAAAATTTAATGTCGTGTGTTTCAGCCTGAAGAAGTTCTTTTGCGGGACAAAAAAATATACTGATGAAAATATGCATGCAGATTTTGTAATTTTGATTGTATCATTGTTTTCCTGTTAATGGTAAGGTGCACATTGAAGCACTGGTTACCATATAATCAAAGTTAAGCAACGTCAAGCTTGGTCAGTACCTAGAAGAGTCACCACCTGGGAATGCCAGGTGCTGTAAGCGTGGATATGTGGGTGGTGTAATGGATAATGGCCCCGAGTTGTTAATTAGAGATCGAGTTCCATTTCCAGTTGGGTTTGTTATATCCACTTAAGCACAAATACCCTTGGGAAAATGTTAAACTGAAAACTGAAGACACATTAGAATAGCAAAAGATGCCTCTTAAAAGCTGAGACATATAATGAGGAAAGATGGCTTGGAGAATTGGACACTCACAGGACATACTGAAAACAATAGGAAACAATAACCTACTTGGCAATCTTGTGTAAATGCATTGGATTGGGAAGGATCATGAAAAGACAAACCTTAATAAGAGCTACAAAGGATAGGAAGTTGTGGAGAGCTATGATCACTCATGTCCGGAAGGGACATGGCACATAAAGAAAGACATTATGTATATATCTGGTTTATTTATATGATATATATTTATATAAATTGTGCGATGTTAAGAGATTTATATCAAGTTAAATCAGCATTTTGTTGTCTGACGGGTAAATTATGTGGAGATTAAAAAATTGTAATGAACTTTGACTTTTTGCAATATTTCTTCCAGGATTGAAGATATAAATCTTCATATTATGCCCAGGGGGTTATTAAGAAAAAATAAAATAAAAATCTGTATTGAAAATAATCAGTTCTTTTAATTGATGGCTCAAATATTTTTCCTTTTTATGAAATCCTAAAATAACACACAGTAAAAGTTTGCATAAAGAACTGCAAACTTTATTTGTATGTCTAATTTTATAATTCTTTTCAAATTTTATTTTCAGTCACCGAATCGTGCAGGAAGTCCTCCAAGTGATTTTGAGTCTGAACACGATGATTTATTGAATCGTCTTGCTACTTCTCAGCAACAGAAGTGGACACTGGAAGAGAAGGTGAGATTTTATTTTTATTACAACTATTGTCATCATAGTAGTAGTAGTAGTACCACTGCTACTATGAAAACTGGTACTATATGGCCTGTCATATGGTTAGACTTTGAATGTGGGTTTTGAAGTTTTGGAAGATTGACACAACACAATCTTCCTTCTCTCATTTCACCTTTGTAAATTTCATGAAAATTGATAATTCTAAAACAAGGATAAAAAATTATATATTCAAAAATCAGTAATAAGCATTTCAGTATTTACTAGCATAATACCCATAAAAAATGACTGAATTATTGACATCTGGATCAGTAATTCTGCCTCAGATCAGCACATCTATGTGCTCTGTCTTGTAACAGTGTATTATAGCATGACACTTCTGTATCAGATTAGTATGTCATACCATGGTTCTTCTGTGTCATGTAAATACACCTGTGGGGTCTGTCTTGGAATGTTATGGCATTTTAGCATCAGAACCATGTCTCACCATGGCACTTCTATGTTTGAGAAGAAAGTCGGATGATGGTGCTTCTATTTTGGATCATGCAGATGACACTCCTGCCTCAGATCTGTGTAAAGTGTTTTATATATGTGGAATATTTTATTAACATTACTAAGTGGGGTCGAAAATATTAATATGATGAATGATTTTATATTACTCCACTAAATAAGAAATTAATAATTCTGGCACTTCATGTCTGGAATTGATTCTATATGGTTTTTAGGCAGAACTGATAATAAATTGGACTGTGTCTGATTCCTAGGGATCTTCTCTTCTGTGAAGCACATCCCTATTACCCTAATGGATAGGGTCATTGGTTGTGCTATGGTATTGGTGGCAAAAGCCAATGGGATGGGGCAATATCTTAACACGCCCATATAAAAAAGATTGTGAGGCCTCGCATTAAACTGATCTTGTGTCATACTTGTTCTTATGGTGAGGCAAATGAATATAGGTAATAACTGTTTAAGAATGATAATGATTAAAGTGATGCAAAAAAGTTTTTGGAATAATGATGAAAAAATATTTCATTAATGTAAATCATAAAGTAATATTCAAGAAATTTTATTAAAGAAAAACATGCACCGTTCAGCAGGATTTGAACAAGTGTTCCCCTTGGCAGGGGAAATCTCATTAGATCCAACATGCTTCTATCGACTCCACCACAAAGGACATTTGCTGATAAAGCAAGGCTGGATAGTGCCTTTAAGCAAAATCCTTTTCATCGTAGATTCTCAAAATTTCATATCTGCTCAGTTTTGCATCCTAACATGAACAAAGCAATTTAAGAATCTCTAAATTTCTTGGAACTAGCCACAGCCATTTTTATTTAACAAACTCTAAAAATTAGTAGTCCCCCAACCACAACAGAAAAAAGAAAATTGTGAAAACTTACAATTTCTCTTTTCATGAATTATCCGAGTAATGTACAAATGACCCTAATTCATTAAATATTCAGAATGACAGCCACAAGACAATTTTTAGTAATTTATTTTTTTTTTATGCAAGTAAATTTTCCCAAATTCTATAGATCTGCCCAGCTACTAAATAATACCAGAAATATAATATTTTATTTTATTTTTTTTTATTTTATTCACCTTTTTCAAAATCAGGTGAAAGTACTTAAGAATAATTCAGTGTCTTGTCTGAAATTTATATTGAGAAATTCTTACATATTTACTTCATTAAGAGGGTCCTGGAAAGGAAGTACTACTTGAGTTAGGGTTTGTCATAGTAGTAATTGAAATGAAACTATGGTAGTTTTGTAAGCCATTATACATAGTCTGCAATCTGTAGTGTACATATGTGGTGAGGAGGTTAAGCCAAAATATCCTAGCCATATTACAGTTTTTTTTTTTTTAATTAGGGCCCAAGAGTTGGAATTCTATTTTAGTTACAGTGTAGTCCCAGTAGGGAATGAAATAAGTCTATAATAATTTTTTTTTTTTTTTTTTAATGATGTTCAACCTGTACAAGGTTCAAGAGCCACTTCAGTTGGAAGATTACAGAGTAAGAGGCACAGTTTATGTAAATATGTGGTGGAGATAACAGCTCAGCCTAGACTTAAACAGATTAAGATTGTAGTGATTGGGGAAGCATCATCTTGGGAGTTGGTTCAACAAAGCAGTAGTTCATGGGAAGAAGGTGCTTGAGACAAGCTTGTTCACCAATGCAAAGGGAATGATGGTAGTTTGCTACTATGTATGTAGCATGGTGGGTTTTAGCCATGAATGTTAAAACTCGTAGGATTCAGGTATGTAATTGACCTGAGCACTTTCCATAGAAATAATGAGAGATCAGCAAGAGGCTTGTAATGTTTCGTCTGTGAGAAATGGGTTGTAGGGTGGATAATAATTTGCCACCCACAAGGACATGGGTGGGGACCCTTTCAAACTCTGTCGAGATTGGAAAGTGAAGACTGTAAAGTTCCAACCCATATATGGCAACAGTATTCCATTTTCAGCCTGATCTGGCTATTGTAGAGGAAAAGCAGGAGGAGTCAGGTACTTACTAAAGTGGTACAGAGAACCAACAATTTTTCAAGCACATTTGGCAATGGATTGTATGTCCAAGTTCCACTTTGTCTGGATTGACTTTAAATCTTAATAGCTGCTCGAGGCATGAGGCCTCCCAGAGGGGACATCTGTTCATTGTGATTTGTGATAGTTCTGGATTGCACCACTCCTTCAATGTAAGAATCTAAGATAAAAACGTTGTAGCAGACACCTATCCCCTATTACTAGTACTGATCCTATTCAACTTTTGGGCATATGTAAAAACAAAACAGGGGGCATGCATAGTGCACAACCAAAGAGGTGAGCCTACTTTCATGCAGTGCTGGTGGGGATGAGAGAGGGTGCAAAACTTAGCACTCGAAGCTTAATCAAGATACATCACTTACTCTTTCACTCACCATCAGAATAAGTCCAACCACATCCATTTCTTCTTTTTTACAGGGAATATCATAATATTTCTTTGAATTTATACTTTCTTTCAGGTTTCTGTATAGGATTGAGTTTATGGAAGTTAAAAGGTTGCGTGTTTGTATATTTTAGGTCAGTGTATGTTTGCATGTAAACAATTATGATGCATGCAAAAAACCTGGGTTTCTCCCTACGACTATTCTCAATATCTCTTGGGAATGTCTGTTTCCTTTTTTTGGTTCAGAAGTAAAGATATGCATGGTCACAATGGGTGACCTCATCAGCTTTGCACTTAGTTGGAACGATCAAATTACTTATTTTATGAGTAGGTTTGCAAGGGATGTCCGTACAATGTTAGTGAAAAGAGAAAAGTTCTGTTTTTCTGGAAGTGGGATCATAAAATCATGCAGGTGACCAAAAAACCCTTTCTGCTTTCTTTATTATTTGCATTATGGGAAAACTAACTCTTTATTCTTTAGAGTCTGTCTATATTTCTGAGATGAGATATTATGTACATTATTTACATTATTCGAACTGTTGTCCTCATCTTTGTCACCATATTTATCATAACGTTTCGGCCGTTGTACGCTCCGGCCTTCTTCAGGTGGTTGGAATGTTGAACTGAACCCTTTATTTTGCTCACTGGGGTAGACTGTTCTAGTTCCATGTGCCATGTTTGATGGATGTCAGTTATCAGTTATCTCCTGTTAATTTTCCCTCTGAAAGTTCTCCACTGCCTTAACCAGGTATTGAACTCACACTCTTTAGGTCCTGTCACTGGATCTAACCAACGCCTTTATCCACTGTACCATGTGCCCTATTCTTTATTATTTTATTCACTGATTTTATTTCATTTTCTCATAACTTTCTGGTTCCTTCTAAAGTCTACTTCAACTCTGTACTTCCAATGTCTCTGCCTAAAACTGTGAAATTTTATTTACCATTTGTTTTTGTTTTTATGTTTCCTCAATAGCAGTAGATAGGTTTACCTATTGTCCAGTTCATACTGTTCTTTTGAACAGGAGTAGAGGTTTATCCATCGTTTTCTGTTTAGGATTGGGTTACCAGTTCTCTCTAAAGTCTTTTGCTGCTCTTTCACTTCCAGTGCCCCCTTGCTTGGGGTGGTGCCTCCTAGTTTATCTGTAACCCTTTACCTTGAGTAGTTTTTATGCCTTGTACATGGTGAACATCATTGTAAAAAAACTATCCTTCAACATTCTCCATATTAAAAGTTCCTGATAGAATAAAAAATTCTCATTTTATTTATTGTTTTGTTTGTCTATTTTCTCAACCAATTCAACACTTTTAATTTTTGTTTGTCAATACATGACACCTTTTCAATCTCAAACTAAACACAAGGTCAAGCCAAAATATTCTAGCCATATTACTATAAATAATATTATAAATAATATTATTATAAATAAGTGTATGCATAATGATATTAAAAATGTTGATATCAGTAATAATATTAATTGGCAACATGTCAAGAAGGTAACAATTTTTTTTAATAATCAGTATAATTCTGTTTCTACTTTGAATTAAATGCAAAGTCTTCTGTAAGTTTGTATTTATCTTGAAATTGGAGTTCAAATTTGCATTGAGTAAGGGTTTTGATATTTCTTCAATTAATCATTAAAGTGTAGTGTTTCATTTATTTTCATTAAGCTATAAAGAAATATTCGCTTTTACTGATTCTTATGAGTCAATATGGCCGCCAGTTAGAGGGAGATAACTCCAAATATCTTTGGATAATTGGGTGGATTTTAAAATTTCATTATTTCTTGAAATTTCTTTCTAAATAACTGAACCAACCTGTTATTTATCTGCTTTTCTTTGCAACTGTTATTTTGAAAATTAATATTTTCTTATATATATATATATATATATATATGTGTGTGTTTGTGTGTGTATATATATATATATATATAAAAACATCCATAATTTTTACAATTATTATTTTTTTTATATACTTGAGAGCTTGTTTTTACTGTGTCAGGGCTTTATCCAGTTTGCTCACAAATGCTTTCACTGTTAGTAGAAAAAAAAAAGATTTAATAAATTTTGCAATTTTTAACCAACAATTT